GGCTAGGTTGTATTATTCAGGGCTAGGTTGTATTATTGAGAGATAGGTTGTATTATTCAAGACTAGGTTGTATTATTGAGAGATAGGTTGTATTATTCAAGACTAGGTTGTATTATTCAAGACTAGGTTGTATTATTCAGAGATAGGTTGTATTATTCAAGGCTAGGTTGTATTATTCTAGAATACATGGTATTCTGAAAATGCACTGGCCTAGGTCATGAAATAAAAAATCGCGTGGTTTTATTCAAGGATAGGTTGTATAATTAAGGATCAATTGTATTAGTCACGGATATGTTGTGTAATTGAGGGTGCCAATAATATACAGTATTATTATATATTATTCAATATCTAATTATTCATTTATTTATTCAATATTTACCATACAGTATTCAATAAAGGTATATATATATCATTTGCGTGTTAGTTGTTTTTCCCATTCCTCAATAACTATTGTGTGAACTCAATAAATATGAAATTATTGTGTCCAATATGACATTTTGGGAGGGGGGGGGGGGGACACAATTGTCCAGTGTTCTGACCAGTGGTTTAAGTCGACCAGGCTCTTAACACCCACGCTTGTAGTATCATGACGTCATCGGTGAGAAGGTTAAATATTTATAATTTTAAGGAACTTTTTCTCGCGTTTTCTGTACGCTTGCCGCACGGGGCTATAAAGTAAATTTTTACACCACATGTATACTGACAACTGATACCTACACGTATAGAAAACGTATTAAGTAGATTATTTTGTTACAATTGAAGGTGTCATGATTACGCCGGATTTAAAAAAAATACAGATCATAATATATGTATATATCTATAAAAACAGCTTATTTAATAGTGTTCGTAAATCATCATACACTGCGGGGGATCACGTTGCAGAAAAAAAACCTTATATGCATACATAAAGGAGTCTAGCAGACAAATTTTTGTCATTTTTTTGGGACAATAAACGGAGGCCCCGTGTGCTACAGGCTGTGCACGTTAAAGATCCCTCGACAGTTGGAAATCAAAAAAGAGCAGGCTAATGCCGCTATCCTGGCAAAATTTCCCCCATCGCACCCTGCATGGCGTTGCCCGTCATCATTGTGCAGAAAAGTAGGACGTAAAACTCCATTCATTTCATTTCATTTCTAACTGACAAACATATTAAGAACCCATTTATGGTGAACTCTTTCATTTCCTAATATAGCATAATATAAGTAATTTTCTAGTAAAGTTACATAATTTCTTAATATAACAAATTATCACGTAAATTTTAATAATATTTATGTAAATAAAATATATAAGTAATTTCTAAGTAAATATAGGTGATTTTCACGAAAATATCACGTAAATATAAGAAATTGTCACGTAAATTTAAGAATGTTTCACGATATAGTAAAGCTCTTCATGACTATATATTATATCTTAAATCAAAAAACCTTCAAGTAGTTAATAATTTAGTAATATTTGGCATTCTTTTCGTATTTACAAGGAACATGTTTTACAGCGTCCACAAGCAGAAAAATAAATTTTTTTCTTTTTTTTTTTTCTTTTTTTTTTTTTTTTTAGAAAATTTGCAATGTTTATATCAAGCCTTTTTTTGCGTGAAA